GGCTTCCTTATCCAACACTCGTGCAAGTCGAAAATATTTCAGGCCAACGAATGTATGTATACGAATCGATAATCTTCTTCTTTGTTTGCAGGCGTGTTTGTTTTTATTTTTTATTTTTTTTTAAAATTTTTTTTCCCATTGTATTCGCTGTTTTTTGTACTCATGTTCAACTTATATTGCAGCCCATTAATTTCGTATTAATTTGATCTTATGTTTTATTTTCGACTTCCAGATGCCATCTTCCACCAAACCACCCAACCACCTACAAGACTTAAGGTATATCAATAAAAGTTGTTGGTGTCGAGATGAACATAATATGACAGACATTAAAGTCACAGGGAAAGAATGCAAAAACAAAGGAAAGTTGTATTATGTATGTTTGAAGGAACGCCACGAACGTTGTGGCTTCTGGGAATGGTGTTACCCTATTTTAACCAACATTGTTCAAAGTGCAACTTCAACTAACTCACGTGAATCACCATTTTCTCAGTCCATGGGAGAAGACATAAATTTGGTGGATGATGTGGAGGATCTAAATTCTGAAACTCCAATGTATGTTTCAACTGTGAGACTTCTCGAAGCCAGCAATGCAAATGTGAAGCTGCTAGCAAAGTTTGGGTATTTTATAACAACCTTATGTTTTTTGTTAATTGTAATAATTTTTCTTCACGTGTGATGTGATTATGAATTTCTGGGTTTTACACTCATGGATGATGTGGATGTTCCCTATAAATTTGGAATGACAGTTTGTACAAGTTTATCAATATATATGAATCGTTGTCCTTCTCAAGTTTTAGCAAACAACAATTACATAAAATTATTTCAATTATACCCGTCACATAAGTAAACCCTAAAGTCAACAAAATTACAAATTCATTGGGATTTTTCTTACAAATTATTCACGACAATGTCTATATAACTATGACCATAACTTATACATGTGTATTTGCATAAGTGGATCCCTTCACTGATACATTTATGCAAATACATATATGTTTTATTTATCCTTATATTTTTCTAATTAGTGTCACACTACATTGATGAATCAGTTGAGAGTTATATTTGGACATTTTTCTTTGGCCCTTAGACATTATCTTACAAATTTATTGGGATGTTTTATATAAATTATTACGACATTAAAAATATAAGGATAAATGAAATATATGTATTTGCATAAATTATCAGTTGAGAGTTGTATAGGATTAGCATATAACGACAACACCCATAATCAAACCGGGTTTGGAACATAACAGAAGCTAAACAACAAACAATTGGATAAAATCATCCTAATAACAATTAACTGGCTTCCAAGTAAACCACAAAAAATTAGGTGACAATTTGGTTTTGGTGAATTATAAAATTTGTTAAGTAGAAACATATCCTAGTTTATAAAGGAGATAAAGACATATTCCAAAACTATGAACTGCAGTAAGCGTCCTTAGATTTTTGTCCCCATACAACATAAATAAGGTCTAATGATACTCTGGACCTAACCCCAAATATTCTGGGACTTGTTCAGGATCAGTCCCTCTTATTTCACTTCAAACCACTTCATGACATCCTCCTTTCTGACCCTGTGCTGGAATCGAACGGTAGACTTGCACCTACAACGACACCCACAGTCGATAACCTGGCCATTCCAGGACAACATAGAAATCTATACCAAACAAATTCCAGTTGAAGGATCGTACCTGAAAGTTGAAGGTAGAAAATCAAACAAGAGTAAAAGATACAAACAAGTTGGTACATCTCTATTTCATAAGAAATCATGGTTTTATATATAATGAGGCAAAAAAAACTCAACCAACCCAAAGATGAACTTCAAAAAGGTCTTAACATGTTACGATCTGATTCACATTAAAGACTCTGGTTGCAGATTGACGAGATTGAGGAAGGGAGATAAGATCATATTATGCAAATTAAAAATGATGAAGAAAGAAAACTAAAAATATATGCATAAATATAGAAATCTTAGATATAGAAAGTGAAGAAGCCAACATAGACATCAAACTGTAATTATATTAGGATACTGAATCCACAAGTTCATCTAAATAAAATTAGCGAAAGTAGTCAAAGTTTGTATTGACATATTTAATGTACACCCAATGTTGCGCCTGTTAAAAGAGGAAGAGTTGTTTGCCTAAAAGGCAAGCGACATAGAGGTAGACCAAAGGTTTTGCACATTGTGCAATTCTACAATCTAGATTGCAACATTAACAGTACAAGGGCTGCCGGACTTAATATAATAGTAGAAGACAACAAAATTATGTTCTTATCAAACCGTCGACACTCCCAAAAAACATAGCTTCCATTATTCAGTCAGCTGAACCCCTTATCTTAGATTTCTATATTAAAATGATGTACCATCAAAAGACGTGATGTAATTAACAGACACTCCATGGAAATAAGATGTTTAATAATCATACAATTCTTATGGATATGGATTAGGGGAGAGGGAGAGAAGATGGGGAGAAAGTCATACAAAGAACCAGTTTATTGAATTATGCGATGGTCCATTTTGGTATACAAAAAAACACACCTATACATAATCATCTGCATTTGAGCATATAATATTTGCCTTTAAGTTGATCAAGACATGCTCATCTAACACTGTCAAGTACTGATCAATAAAAAACCTTGCATTTTAGCTTTTCGATGCAATATAACATGTCATTCATTGAAATGATAATCAGTTAATTTGTAAGATCTGTTACTTGATTCCAAAACTAGGTAGCAACAGCCTGCACCATTCCTTCAATAACAAGCAACTCCTCCTCCAAAATGTACTTGGCAACACCTTACACGATGATGCCATAACTTCTTTTGCTTACTTCAATAAAATCAATTTAATGTAAGACACCATACTGGTAATATTTCCTTCATAGATAAGATCAAAATCTGCTTCATACTCCATCAAAATACTCACCTTATGCATTTTAACAAATGAACAAGCAATTAATTATCATGAATGTTGTTGTATTCATTCGAAAAGCAGAGATATATTAAAAGAAATTCAAGCTTGTCTTTGTTGATGCAAAAAAGAGCTTAGTTCACAAGTTCATAATTATTTGTGTTCAGCAAATATTCATTAGGTTAAGGCAATTTTTAGGTCTATTAATTTAATTTCTCCTATTGTATGTTCATCTATACTTAAACCGGAATATTTGTTATTATGGCAGTACCTGTGAAAGATTATGAGTTTCATGAAGAGTGTAAATTGTGTTTACGTACTTTCATTCCAAGCAGCGCCTAAGTCACCCACTCTCAAAATCTTCATTGTAAATACACCATTGACATCAATCATCTCCTTCTTCAACATTAGCAGCCTTATACAACTCCTCTCGAACTCTATTCCTCGGATAATCCAATAGTTGCACAAGGAACTCAGAACGCATTGGCTTGGACTGTACCTGCAATATAAAAAAATGTTACTGCCAAACAATAGTACAACTTGTACCTTACATATTTTACACATACATATAAATAATAATGATAACACTACTTACACAAAATTTCTCATTGAAGTTAGTGCCATTCCAAAACTGCATGTACCTCATAACCATCACACCACAAGAATTCCTAATATGCAAACAGTATTTAAGTGATGTACTCAGCAAGGGATAGTATTAGATTTAAGATACGGTGAAAGAAAAAATAATTATGCACTTGTATTGAAATATATGTTTACATACGGATCATCCTGCCGAGGGATTTTATGGTCCGTCTTTATTATGTAAGCTGGCCAGTTCTCTTCCCCCAGGGCAACCGCAACAAACTCATTCTGTCATACACATCAACCTGAAGTAAGTATGCATTTTTCATAAACCAAACTTTAACAAATCGGGTTGATTTCATTAGATAGATGTCTACTACACAACCCCCAAATGCTTTATATCTGTGCGGTCGTCCGATTCTACATAGGTAGTCCCCTACTTTGTTGGGCCGGTTGACAACGAGTAGAAACCAATGTTTGTCAATGATTCCAGGGAAGATTAACTATACGGTAATAAACATAAAGTTAGGGACAACAAAACATATTGGACAAAAATAGCACGATTCATTCATTCGTACTTAAAACATCTTCTACATTATTGTAATGTACAACAAATTACTATAAAATCATTAAACTAACCAGCTCGGAATTCTTGAACACCGTCGAATCTTGAAGCTTACATACTCATTTGTATTATTCCCATATTTTTTTTTATCAAAGGCATGCGCTCATCTGCAGTGTCATATTTAATAACATTGTGTTGATTCATAAACTGGACAACGCAACTATCAAAATAGTAGTGTCGCAGCTTCGTTCCTTGCTCTTCGTTCAACAACATTGCCCAGAATTTGACCATCTAAATTCAGAAATGAAATTGTCATAGGTTCATCATATCATAACCGTAAAAATACATATTAAAGAATTGAAAAAGCATGCACCAAGTTCGAGATCCAGTTCGGGTGAAACAACTCGTGTATGTCCGTCCGAGTAAGATGCATATCGTACATGGAAACCATAATTTCACTACAAAATGTACATCATTCTTACAAATTAGTATACGTTTTGTAATACAATTGGTCTTAGTAAATAATAAGGCCTAAAGGACAATACAATGAACAACAATATATGGACTTAGGAAATTCAGAAATGTGGGTTACACTTACCCTTTATCTTGATCACCACCTCGTACAGCAGCATAACTCAATAATTTCTTCTGCTTTGGAGTCAATTGAATTTTCTTAGTATTCCTCGATACCCATGGAGAGAACAAGTATGCTGCGGGGTTTCTGCTCCTGCTACCTCTTCTGACTTCTCTCACTGCATCCTTCCCTTTACCATGTAAAGTTTGGGACGAAATATCAATGACTGGACAACTGGGAGTTATATGTGCTGCTCCTACGTTCTCCTCCAAAGCCATGCCCACAACGTCATTCAACTCTGTCCTCTCATCCTCATTCAGTATGTCATTGCTGCTGGGAGTAAAGTGGGCATGATCTGCACCACAAAATTATAGTGCCTCACCTGCATCAACAAGAGCGTCAAATGTTTCCTTCTCATCTTCATTTTCAGAATTTTGTGCCACATCTTTGTCCTCAATGGACACTCCCCCATCTGCTGTACAAACATTCGGTTTTCCTCCGGCCCCTTTCGACTTTTTCCTCACCAATCTCTCTATTTTCTCCACCTTCCTTTTCAACGTTTTCCTGTTTTCTACTTCTCTTTCCATTTCGTTGCGAATTTCTTTAACGCAACACTGCATACAAAATTTTAAGGATTAAACACTGATCAATTGCATATTCACAATTTCATTCATACTTATTAACCGTAAAGTAATATATTGTTACCTCAACCTCACTTTTCGAACAACTACCGTTGCCTTTTTCACCTCCACACCACGACGATGACGGACAATGGGACACATTCGCCTTGAAAGGAATTAACTATTCCATATAAATATTTCGAACCAAATGTACGTAAGCAAGGAAATGGTGTCATATACAACATAAATTGGGAACTTTCAAATACTTGTAAAATTTAGTGTCAGACCTCACCCAATCCTAAACCTCCCATTTTCAACTCCCATTTGAAACGTTCCCGTACTAGGGTTGTGTCCTAAAACTGAAAACTGCTTATTTCGCCCGTGCTCGGATAACAGGGGTATTCCACTTTACACCTCATCAGATAAAGAAACTGATTTAAAAAGTACCGACTTTAATCAGTAATGATTCATAATAATGACATAAATTATAAAGTTAATTGCAAATTATAAGTAGCTTATGTTATTTACCTATAAGAAGAGCACGCATCCGATATACTCGTGCTTCATTTTTCCACCTCCTTCAGATTCACCCAAGTGAGCCACCAAAGTTTCAAGCACGTAGGTACACCAGTTGTACGACTTGATTTCATTGACATTATCCACTGCCTTTAATTCTTTCACATGCACACTATAACGCCCATTAGGCGTTAGAAAAGTCGCACATGCAAAAAGAACAAAAGCTCTTTTGAAATCATCGCTAGGCTCACATTGTTGTACCCTTTCCATCAGATCATTTACATGCAGCCCACTTCGATATGCACCTTCAGTTACCCAATCGGCTTTAAAAAGATGACATGTAGGAACGTCCCTAATTCCAGCAGGTAAGCCAAAGATTTTCTGGACATCAATAGCATTTATTGGCAGATATTGATTATCTTCAAGTTGAATGCGCCGTTTCTTGATGTCCAAATGCCCAATTATATAATCAAAGAGTGAGGTAGACAAATGGTCACATTTTAGATTCAGCAAATTGCCAAAACCTATATCTACCACATCCTTTCTCTTTTCGTCTCCAAGTGTACATACCGTGTTAATAAATTTAGAGAGTGAGCATTTGTTCCACCTACTTTTCACCTTGTATTGAACCTGAAACTTCCCAATAAATTTAACGTCCCATTACAAATTTCATTTTACTAGCTGTAAGGAACCATCAATTGTATTATTTTATATTTCATATTATGTTATGAAAATAATAACAAATTATATTAAAAATTTAATCAAACTCCCCCAACTTACCTTCTCCTTCTTCTTTTTGTTCACTAGTAACCCTCCACGGCTTTTGAACTCCGAATCACGCAATCTTTTTTCGTCATAATATGGACGCTTCTCCACCATGGTCATACCATTCCATGCTTCCTTGCATTTCAATTCGGATATTTTTTTATTCCCACCCTTCACTGGCCCATGGACTTGTTGATACTCCTTCATGAAAGCAGCCCTCATACACACAATATCATATATAATATCAGCAAATCAACATTAGCATTTTAATTCAATAGATATGCTTGACAACTTATGTCACAACTTATCATTTCAAAGATAAACATGTTGCATCAAATATTTACTAAACTTTCAGACAACTAAAAATTATTTCCAAAGGTTTGATTGAACGTCGGAGAAGAGGAAGCTATAGTGACGAATTTATTAGCATTTCAATTCAATAGATATGCTTGACAACTTATTTCACAACTTATCATTTCAAAGATAAACATATCATTTCAAAGATAAACATGTTGCATCAAATATTTACTAAACTTTCAGACAACTGAAAATTATATTTGCTCAACAGAGAACCATAATTGATACAAATGTTATTCTTAACATTAATACTAAAATGAATGTATACTTACTTGAACAATAGGTAAACTCCTCCTCCACGACGCATATTATTAACTGATGCGCTACTGCTTGGCTGCGCATCATAATTCTCTTCGTCCGCTCGAACATTATAATCCTCATCACGAGTACGACTACAAGTACGAGTAGGACTAGATAATTTAGGAGGGGGGGGGGGGGAGGTGTACAACCCGCAGAAGAAGATTGATTCCGCATCCTTTGCATCATACATTGAAGGGTAGGAGAAGGAGGCGGATTAACGACATTGTCCGTTTTTTTTTTTTTCCGTATAGGTAATTTTTTTCGTAAAGGACCTTTCTTGCGAGCTATCAACTTCTTGCGACCCATTTCTAAATCAATCTTTACAGCGCAGCAAAGTACACTCTATTATGGATAAACAACTTTTCCACCAATTGTCAGTCAACAAAATTTTAAACAAATTCCTCCAAATTTTAAATATAAGCAAGTATAAATACACAGTATAATATATACATACACTAACATATACACTAACAATCTCAATAGACATGAGAAGATGCCTGCTTTCAAATCCAAATCACTGTTACAACCAACAACAACAGAAGGTTGTGGTGAAAAGAATCTGAATTCGTCCTCCTTCACTCTTTTATTAATATATATATATATATATATATATATATATATATATATATATAATTTACTCAACAGGTTATTTTTTACTTCATTGTTTATTTGTTTCCTTACTTTTCCCACTTGTGTAACTGACAATGATGAAATGTGGGAGCATTACTTTGTAGGAAATCATGGGAAGGTCTTCGGCTTATTTTCAAAAACATTACAACCATGTTCAGTTATTTATAATGAACAATCATAACTCTCAATGCAAACTTACATTTCATACAATGGAAAATTTATTTTAACATATTAAATTGGAAGTGTAAAAGCTCAATTTCTTATATTACAGAATATCCCAAATATATTGTAGTATTTATCACAATTAACACACTGCATTACAGGAATACAATGGGAATTTTATTCTAACATCTTAAATTAGAAGTTTAAAACATAACATATAATATAGAATATAACAACTTTTTCATAATTTATTAATATAATTTTCACAATTTCTAATTCAATTTTTCACAATTTAATAATATTTCAAGAATAACCAAACAAAACTAATGAAACACAATGTCATACGATTCACAAATTCACTTACAAAACCAGTACACTGTAGCTTCGTCTTCCTCAGCCTTAAATCAACCACACGACACTGCACCTTCCTCTTCCCCGCCGTTCAATCAAACCTTTCCAAACAAATTGTAATTTTGGAAAGAAGAAAATTAACGAAAGCTGAGACAATGTAAGAAAGATCAATTTATTTCTTTCTATATTTTGAGAGAGAAGAATAAAGAAGATTCAGAACAGGCGCTATACCTTCGTCACTGTAGCTTCATCTTCTCCGACGTTCAATCAAACCTTTGGAAATAAATTGTAAAGTTGGAAAGAATGAAGACAAATCAGGAGAGAAAAACAAGAAAGAAAAGTACATATTTCGAAGAGGCGATTTGTCACTGTTGGAAAGAAATTGTAAATTTGGAAACAAGGAACAAAAATTGGGCGAGCAAAAGTGGCGCGGATAAATTCGAAGTCCTCGAATCGCCCCTCAATCGCTCCTCAATTGCTTTTTCTAAGTCCTCCTTCTGACCTAGAAAATGAAGGATAATTTGGGATATTTTTGAATGTCAAGGATATTTCAGTAAATTCCCCCAAATTTTAAATATATGCAAGTATAAATACACAGTACAATATATACATACACTAACATATACAGTAATATATACACTACATACACTACAGTAATGACTGAGGTAACTTTTTGTGGGTCAAATTTTTTTAATTGACGTGGCCCAATCTGGGCCACACATCCGAACCGATGGGAACAGGAACAGGAGAAGATTTACTCCCACTCAGCCTTACCTTCTTTATTATTTATTTTTAATATTATCTTCTTTTTTTATTTGGTATCGGCAAGAAAGAAATATACACCTCACTCTACTTTGTGTCTTTGAGAACTTAAACTCTCACTATTCACTTTCAAAAATAAAATATTTATTTTTAATATTCTTAAACGATACAGTGATATGGTTGGAGGCTTTAAAGAATGCATTTGCAAATGCCAAAAGAACCCAATTTAATGTTAAGCAAATTATCACAAAAAGAGAGGTACTATAAATGTTTTTATCATAACCTAACAATCAATATTAATTTAAGGATAGTACTTAATGTAAATATTAATTTTAAAAGTAGATAAAATTAAAATGGGTGGACAATTTTTCCTTTCTATACAATTAACTTTACCTTTCCAAATACATACATATATATATATATATATATATATATATATATATATATATATATATATTAAAGGTTCCTCCCACACATCAAGGCATTTGTGTACTTTATGTTAGAGATGCGAAAATATATCTCCAATTTCAAAAGTAAAAGGTAAAAATAACACAACAATGAGTATTAAAAATTATCAAGAACTTGATAGAAAATAACCCTTTGTTCCACTCAAAGTCTATGCATGTTTCATGAAGAGATTTGGATAAAAAGAGATTTATATATATAATAGTCATACAATTATTATATTTTTTTTATTCTTAATTCTCATGCTTTCACATTATGCATAGATTTGGATAAAGAGAAATTAATATAATAGTTATTCGATTATTATATTTCTTTTATTATTAAATTTCATGCTTTCATATTCTAATAGAAGTGAAAAGATTAAGATTCACATATATTTACCTTTAAGTACAAGCATATTTTTCTAAATAAAATTATTTGAAGAACTTTTCTTTACAAACTTCATGAACTCTCTTTATTTAACTAATTAAATATAAAAAATTAAATATTTTAACCCATAATTAGATGACTCCTTTAATATATTTTTTCCTACCTTTCAATTCTATATAAATAAACCCCACATAATTAAAAAATTAGTTGAGGACGTATGGGTTGAAGTTGCTTCTGTCCTGTTAGCATAGCCAAAATGGTTATTGCCTATGTGAAAGCCTATTATCACGCCCGGTCTATGAAGGTTATGCCGCCATGCAAGCACTGAGTAGGATGCGGCATGGCAATTGTATCGCGAGAAGAGTTTCTAGAGTCTTTCGGAATTGTCTAGAGTTGTGTGGAAGATTCTAAATATGTGTTGAAATGTGTGAAATATTATAGAAATGTGTGGAAGGTTTTAGAGTTCTCCATAATTCTAAAATGTTGTAGATACTTGTAGATATGTATGCAAGTGTGAAGAAGCTAGGTGGGAGAAGATTCTAAAGAATCAATCTCTACCGTTGGTTAGAATGCATCTTAGCCGTCAATTAAGGACGGGCTGCCTACAAATAGGAGTAGGAGTTCACTTTGTAGCCATCAAGTCCTAGAGTGAGTCTTGAGAGCCTTGTAGAGAGTTTGAGAGCTAGCCTTGTACAAAGCATTCTTTGAAGTAATAGAAGCATTCTTTCTTTACCAACATAAGTGCCTTAGTGTGTGTGAGTGTGCAAGCCAAGTGAGGAGAGGGCAAAAGCCACTACAACACTAGTAAGTGCACGAGAGGAGTGCGTTGTCTAAGGTGGGCACGAGAGTTAGGCTGATCAAGTACTTGCGCAAGTAGAAGTAACGTCTTGGTGCCGCACGGGTGTAGTTAGAGTGGTGCTGAAACTCTAAGCCCGTGACAGTTGGTATCTGAGCATGTTTATCAAGCGATCTTTGTTGGAGTGAGACATGACTAGCGAAGGAGACCACAAAGTCCACGTCATGGAGCAGAGCTTAGAGGAGAAGCTCGCCACACACTTGGTACCGGTCTACACGGAGACCAAGTTCAACAGGCTCGAGAGAAAGATTGTGGAGCTCTACGAGCTGATCGACAGCATGGCCATCAAAGCGCGAGAGAAGGAAAGGGATTTGGATGATCGAGTAGACGACTTACACGTGGAGATTGCCGAGTGCAATAAGGAGTTCTCCCAGGCGCGCGAGGTTGTGGTGAAGCCAAGGAAAGAGAAGGCGTTGGAGCCCAAGGAGCATGATGGGGCAAGGACTGCACGCCAAATTGACAACTTCTTTTGGCACATGGAACAGTACTTCGAGTGCATGGACATTGAGGACGATGAGGAGAATGTGCAGACATTCACCATGTACCTCACAGACACTGCCGCTCTATGGTGGAGGCAACGCTTCAATGGTAGGGGCGCAAGAGCGGTTGACACATGTGAGGAGTTCAAGAGGCAGCTTAAAAGGCAGTTCTATCTCGAGTGCATCGAGGACCTCGCCATGATCAACCTAAGGCACCTGAAGCAAAAGGGCATCATAAGGGAGTATGTGAAGGAGTACTCCAACTTGATGCTAGAGATTCCAGAGATGTCGAAGCGACAACGCATGTGCTTGTTCATAGATGAGTTGTAGTCTTAGGTAGCCGCGGAGCTTAGGAGGAGGGAGCCTAGAGACTAGGCATCTGCAATGGCTATAGCGAAGCGGCTTGAAGACTTTAGAAGCGATGACAAAAGGGCCACAACCAAGGCAAAAGTTTTATATATGTAAAAGTCGACCATTGATAACCGAGCTGTATTATAAAACGGCAGTCATTATCAAAAACAATAAGTAAAAAGTAAAATGGCATGACTTGTGTGTAAAGGCAACGAAGTAACTCAGTTTGCACGGGAGGTTCAGAAAAATTATTGTATGTGCCTGCGCAGGGCGAAAGTATCTATATCTTAGGAAAATTCCTATTAAGTCCTACTTTTTAGACCCAAATACAAATAAGTTCTACAAATTTTTCAAAAAGACAGAGAAGTCCCATTTTGTAAAATATTTCCAAATAGGTTCAAATTCTGCAAATTGTGAAATTTGTTCCATTATTGCCCTTCCAACCCCAAACCACCACCGTCTTCACTTACCTCAGCGGCGCGTCAATGGAGATGTACTAGGCCATCATGCGCTCCGACGCCGCTTTGAATACTTCGATCATGGTGATGCACAGCTCTGAACACTTCAATCGCGATGGAGTTCTCGATGCTTGGGGCTCACCGGTATGAGCTGTGTAGCCGACGCTTGGAGCTCACCGGTGTGAGTTGGTGTTGTCGAGGGGTCTCAAAATCAACAGCACCAGCGATGAAGAAGAATATCGAACCTGCTGGGTTTAAAGTTGGCTTGCCGAAGTTGATGGTTGCCAAAGCTCAATGTGTCTCGCCGAAATTTGTTTGGCCGGTAAGTTCAGTTATAGTGACTAATACAAAAGTGAAAGATCCTAGATCCGTCGCATATATATATATATATATATATATATATATATATATAGTATGTAACCCTAAAAACACGCTTTTTCATTCGGAAGAGTACACAGAAGGAGGCTATTGTCCTCACCCGCCACCGTAGATCCTCCCTTGGCTTTCCATCTCTGCAATTTTTCTAAGCAATCAAAGTCCTATTTTGACAAGCATCGACCAGGAGGTTCTCTACCCACCAAATACTTCTTCACAGAAGATGATACATCAAACACTAAAGGGCCATTTAGAAGAATACCTCACCACAACAGCCTTGAGCCCTGAAAGCATTTGGTTGGTAAGAACCACAATTTCCCATTTTATCATCAACAAGAAAACCATAAAAAGGGAGCCATTATCAAAAAGAGATATATCTAATGATTTGACTTATTAGAACAACCAGAAACAGGGAGCTAACTTTGCAAAGGAAATGGTCACTACATTGCCTCGACATAAATAAGTCTCTCTATCTTAAGAAATGTCAATGATCAGGAAAATAGATATAAAGATCTTTTTCTGCTATGTTCTTTTCTGTCACTAAATTTAACTCCTATATATTAGTTTATGTACAAGCAAATTGTTCTTTTCTAAAAATGTCTGGGGTGCTGTAACTGAACTTACCGGCCAAACAAATTCCGGCGAGACACACTGTGCTTTGGCAACCGGCAGTTTTGATATTCTATTTTCATTGCTGGTGCTGTTGATTTTGAGACCCCTCGACAACATCAAGCTCACACCGACGAGCTCCATGCGTCGGCTACACAACTCATGCCGGTGAACTTCATCGCAATTGAAGTGTTCAGAGCTGTGTATCACCATGATCAAAGTGTTCAAAGCAGCGTCGGAGTGCGTGAGGGCCTGGTGCGTCTCCATTGACGCGCCGCCGAGGTAGGTGAAAACGGTGGTGGGTTTGGGGTTGGAAGGGCAATAATGGAACAAATTTCACAATTTGCAGAATCTGAACTTAATTGAAAATATTTTACAAAATAGGACTTCTATGTCTTTTTGAAAAATTTGTAGAACTTATTTGTCTTTGGACCTAAAAAGTAGGACTTAATAGGAATTTTCCCAAGTATCTTATTATATACAGCTATATGTTTGTTAGTTTTGATTATTTTTCAATGATCTTTGCAGGTATGGTATAAAAGGGCCTGTGTACTTGACGGCAAGAGGCGACAAGGGAGGGGATGAATGGTTGGTAGATGAGCAGCAGCAGAAAGTTAAGAAGAAAGATGGTAGCATTAGCTACGGTGTTCTTCAGACCGTGAGGATACACATGGAGGTTGTGGAGCCTCAACCCAACAGGCCCAAACTTCAGCTTTCCTTAATTTAAAATATATATATATACTAAAATAGCAAGGCATTTTATTTTTGTTTCCTTTACCATTAGGGAGTGGTGTTAATTGTTGTGAAATGGCTTAGAACAATTATGGGTGTGATGCAACAGGTTGGAAAGAAATGTAAGAATAGTTGGTTTTAAAAATATTTAATTTTTCTATTTTTTTTTTTAAATAAAATTTATTTTAAAGATGAACTTTCTAATTTTTAGATACTCACTCACCAATCTCTTTAATAAGAATATTACAGTCAAAATAAAACTTCCGATAGGTAAATGCCATTATATGCAAAATGATGCTTAGTATGGCTTGCTGATTTCGAGAACAAACCAAATTAATTTTCGAATTATAACGAGAATCGTATTGTTGGGTCCTCCTAATGTATTTTCATATTGTTGAAAATATGATAGATGGGCTTTACTAAGAAACATATTCCTATTAGATTTATAAAACTTGTTGGAAGTATGTACAAAGAGGATACAAACGCTAGATTGTGTGCTTGATATGTTATGGATTTCCATTTTAGTAAGGCTATAGGAAATTAAAATTTAAAACTCAGAAAATTACATTATTAGAATCAAAAGGTTTAAAATTAAGTTAACTAAAATATAATATATAGACTTATATGAACGAAAAAATATATATAAATTAGATGGAATGTAAATTTTAATAATGCTATAGGAAATTAAAATATAGTGATAAATAACAATGTGTTGCTAAAACGCTAATGTTGAAATGGATGAATGTCTTGCTAAAATGCTAATGCTGAAATGGATGTTAGTACTAAGATAAAAATAAATCTTAAATTACGTTGACCTCTTTGAGGTTTATCATCGTTAAAATTAGTCTTATATATCATAAAAGCAAATCTGAGGTCCTATGAATTCTAAAATTACTATCATCTTTCATAGAAGCAAACTTGGTAACAAGGATAAATCACCCTTGCCAGTTAACCACTGAGTGAGTTTTTTGCAACAGGGTGTTTGCATATCAGTTATGGAACACATCTTTTTTATTATTTTATTATTTTTACATTTTTTCTAATATCTATAAATTTGAATTTATATATATGCATATATACATACTGAATTAAATGTATATTTATTATATTCATTACTGAAATGGATTTGAAGAATTTTGTTAAGAGTTTTGAGAATGAAGATGTATTGAGATTTGGGTTAAGGCTTTGTATTTTCTACTTTTAGAAGGCATTGTGATTTAAAACTGGTACATGTATCAGTACCTTGAGCCAAGTAATCTCTTAGATTTCTCAGCCCATAAAACCTCTTCCAGATTAAAAAAATAGAAGAGTCTTTGTGTTCGGAACAATTTGAGGCCCCAAAAAAAAAAGAAAAAAAAAAAAAAGAAAAAGAATGCCATTGCCGTGGCTCTCTCAGTATGGTTGGTCTGTGGTGAGGCCGGGAATGTCAAAATGACAACATCCACATGTAGATTGTGGACCATACAGTCATAGCTAGAGATGCTACCAGGTAAGTCCACAAGAAGAGGACCGAACACTCGTCTTGCGCCACATCGAACAATTGTGACATGGTGCCTGCATCATTTTCATCATAATTAGTTTTAGTAAGAGTTTAAAACACATTGTATTAGTGATGAACTGATGATATCAAGCTCAAACATAACAAGTGATAAAGAAGCATAATATTCTCAATACTATCAGGATTATAGTCAATCAAAAACAAAAAAATCCAAGGATGGAGGAAAAGTATTACTAGAAGTAGGTTCATTTTTTTTCCCGGTTATAAAGACCAGGAAGAGACAATTAGGCCATATCAGATATTCCAAAATTTTCTTACCAATAGCCATTGCAGGTGGCAGTGTATACTGAATATATAATATAAAGTGGTACAAAGGGTCTGGCGGAAGGAATCCGAGCTTGGCGGCTTGTTTAACTACTCCAATACCAATCACTGGAAGTATCACGTATCGAACACAAACGACTGAAACGATGATCAATGGTCTTAATTTGACCTTGCTCATGCCTGTTCAGTTCAACACATAGCAATGCTTTCGTTAGGCTGTGTAGTTTTCCCAATACATCGTTTTAGTACTAAAAAGGGCATCAAGAGCTCTCTACTCTACCTGAGAGGTTGCCTCCTAATATAAGTGTGATGCAAGGTATTGTTCCATCCCTGCACAAAAAGTTGTTCCGTTGTCAGTCGGCTGCAAATGAAACCTTAGACGAGATGAGACCCGGGGTTGGGGTTAAAAAGATATATATGGAATTATTTACAGGACCATGGTACCCTTCTATTTCAGGAAGAACAACAATGTCAGCTGAGAGTTAAATTTAAGTTATAAAATGGAGTGAGTTTCAATTGAATTATAATTGATCAGGAGGGTACGTATTCAATCAGTGACTAATCACTAACTGTGAATAATACACACCCACTTACCAAAAAAATAAAATGATAATACATACCCAAGTAATTTGCTAGATTCTTGGAGCACTCTCAGAGGAGCTGTGGTACCAATAAAAAGATTATTCAGCCATTTGTTTGCCCCAACCATGAATCCTCCAACCTGATAATAGATGGAGATGCTTAGTATGATATTTACTTCTACATAGAGAAAATAATAAATTCTCCATATTTATATTAAGCACGGAAATGAAGGTAAAAAAAATAAAGAGAACTCACCACAGCAAGGAATGGAGGTTCCAACACCACGTGCAAAAGCTGGTGAAGAACTCCACATATTTTGCTCCAGAATGATGCATTTCCTTTCTCCAGCTCAAGGGTAGACACTTGGGGTACAATCTGCAAATACGGTAATTTTGAAATTTTCAAGAAATTATGTTGAATTATGTGAATTATGTTGAATTATGTGAAGGCCACTCATAGGACTGGTACTGAAGACTCTTTTTTATTCTGCTTTATGATTGTACTTCCTATGAAATTGAAGCAAAGGGGACTTACAAGTTGATTTTCTGTATCCTCTACAATGGATTTAATTGATGGAACAACAATACCACCATGCTCTTGATTTCCCTTGAGAAGATGAGTCTTGCCATTAGCATCTAAGTCCTCATTGGGTACCTTTGGGGACGATTCAGCTTCTTGTAGTAGTTTGTATTTCAGGGATGAACTTCGCATTAATTGGAAAGTGAAAGTCCATACGTAGAAAGCACCAAGCTGCAAAAAATGAGAAAACATAGTGATACGACATAGATCAAAAACAGATCACCTCAAACAACTTTTCATATGATAAAGTAATATGAACGCCTGGAATTTGGGTGGTTCACTGACATTCTGTTCTATTATTGGTTGCATGAATCATATGTTACTTATCTTGGAACCATATAAAACTGTATGAAACAACTACTACCTATATGGATTGCTAGGACTCGTACGTTGATGCTTATGTTTTGGTTCACAAAGGGACCCAATCATGATAACTTTGTGATCTGATGTGTATTACCATTTATTATGTCATGTTCTTTCGCATGATCAGTTACAGGATTTTGGTCTTGAAGCATATATAATTGCCTTACCGCCATGGAGAAAGAAGCATACGAGATTCCAATGGTAGCACAAACTTTATGATCACCAAATGGGCTGCCATTCTCCTTACAGATTGCAGGCACCAGTATCAAGAGAATGTTTCCGAAGTTTCCTATTAACAAACATTACAACGGCATACCAATGAGAAAACAAAATTTATCCTGCATGCTGAGAAAGGGATGGAAGCCGTCGTCTCACAATTACCTGTTGAACATAGGGCAATGATCAGGCCTTCCAGATGCGGCTTTGGTTTCAGTATTTTCACTACTATCCATCCTAGTGTTCCCCCAAATAGAAAGATTAGCCCAATGTTAAGAGGCATAAACCACCTGAATATAAGTTTAAAAAAAGAATAGTTAGTTACAGTAGTACACTTTAAAGTTAATAACAAAGAAGCTAAGGCAGCATGTCCATTTGTTCTAATAATTGCAAAGAAAATGCCCTGAGGCTGCTTCAGAACCATGAAGCCTCAATTTTTTTGAAAACTATGTCTAAATGTGTGAGACTCTCGAAAGATATTAGACACATAGGCGACTTCTTGAAGCTGGCTTTGTGTTTCATATGTGCCCTTAATTCATTAACAAGATAAAGATTGAAAATATAAGTCCTTTCGTGCCTAAGTGTTGAACTTTCTTTTCTTTCTTTTTGTCCTTTTCTTTTCACTGCACCTTAGCATTACTACAGAATTTTATTACCAAAAAAATAGTGACCAATGTTCCTCAAAGATCTTAGAATCTGTCCTAGTAAAGTATTTCTTTGATTAGGAATTTGCAAACAGAAAACTGAGAAGACCACGAAGTATATTTTGCTTTAAATTGTGTAATAGGAGTATAAACAACTAGGAAATGGAGTGTAGTACTATTTTGAATTGTTTAATAATTTTACAATCATTGAGTAACTTATATATGTGTGTGTGTGTATATATGTATCTTATAACTATTTTTTAATAAAATAGAAAAATAAAAAATAAAAAAAAAAATAGTGATTTTTGCACTACAGCTCCCGAGGCTTATCCTATGACCCTATGGTCAGAATCAGTCCAACACCTCTTATTACCTTCCTAAACCATATATCTGCACTGTATATTGTTTTAGATTTTTGTTCAATTTCCATAGATCACTCTTTTTAATTTCTACACTTCCTTTTATGAGAAAATGGAAGTTAACACATTAAGAGGATGCACAAAGAAAAAGTACTATTCTTCAAGCGGCCTACCATGAGATGATGTCTTTTAGCGTGACAGTCTGGCTCAGACTTGAGTAAAGGAGACAGGGATTGAGCACCGTGAACACAATCTGCCATTGCAGTAAAATTCTTAATATTACAAAGATTCTTGAAAATGAAGAAATCCAACAACATTGTTAACAAAGCAGAGCTATGCTTATATATATATATATTTTAAAAGTAGGTGATGGTTATATTCGAGCATGTAAATGAAACTTGCCTTGTTCAGGGACTTTCTTGCATGTGGGGGAAGAAGATTGAGATAATCGGTTGCCATGAAAGCTCCTAATGAGGTTATTATGAGCACCTGCAGCATAGGCATAGAAGCCACCTCGAAGAGTGTCCAGAAACCCATCTTTAACCCTCTGTTGGGAAACCTTCGGTCCAAACTAGCAGCGGATGGAACTTGTTTCCTTCTCGTTACTCTGAATTCATGCAATTGTTGCACCGTCAATAGCTGCTCCAAATCTCCCTCTATCTAAAAGAAGAGAAGAAAAATCCTGGGAAGCAGCACCAAACACAGACCAAAGAAATTTTTAGTCATCAAAACAAATCTAAAAAGGTAAAAGTGAAAAACAATATTGCAAGGAAACAAAATCTTATGTAATCTTTTACAATTAACAAAGTATACAAATGAAGTGTATGCCTTTGAATGAGGAGAGGACAGAACTTTATATATTCAAACTCAGAAAAAGAGTAAAATGTGCTGGACCTTTTTTTTTTTTTTTTACCCTTTAAGTTGAGATAATCTATTTATACAGAAATGTTGGACTTTCATAGCCATAGGTTTTGTAAACTTCAACCCTGACTCATTTATAAATTAAAATTAGGGTTCATATGCTTTGCTTATTCCAGAACTGTTAATGTTGTGCAAATTTAATCTGCATGGTGTAGAACAAAACAATGTATGCTAAGTTTGGGAGCACCGAATTGACGCCTTAGAAATGGAATTGAATTGAAATAAAATATCTCCGATTCCAAATCCATAGCCCCGATTCGGTGCGTGCTCCCAAAACATAGATAAATGTTTTAGCAATTGGAGTTGAAGAAGGTGGCGCCCAATACAACACAGACCAGGTAAATAAAATACTACAGTGATATTTCTTGACACAGAAAGAATACATGATATAACTTGCATAAAAAAAAATACTATTTACCCAAAAAAAAAAAACTAAATTGTATAACAACAAAAGCCTCAATCAGGAACATATTACATATATAATATACCAAAACAATACTTTTTACAAATTTCAGTTGTGAGAGAGAGAGAGAGACAGGGGATATGTTAAATAATTAATAAATGAATAAAATAATTAAACAAGCTAGTGGAAATATCTATAGAAAATGAAAAAATTAATGAGATAATTAACTTTAACCAAGATTTAATATATAGACTTCATGTTTCCAACGTGTATGATGGAATTGATTAGAAAATCAAGACGGCAAGAAACAACACAACATATATATATATATATATACCAGTGTGTGTGTGTCAGCATGCATACATACTTTTTAGCAAAAACTTGGTGTGCATTGTGCATACATAAATACATGTGTGTCTGTATATATATTAGCGAATTAACCTGGAATGAAGTCTGGCCGGATTGCGAGAAATGAGACCTAGCAATCATGGACATCCGACCAGAGATAGAGGGGGAAATGGAGCAAGACGGAGTTAGAATCAACGGTGAGAGGGAAGAAGCCATTGGATTCCTCGGTTGTATAGGTAAATTTATACATATACATATATAGATAATGAGCGACATAGGATAGGTATAACAGCATATATGGAGTGGGTTTTCTCTATAAATAGAGCACTAGCTCTGGAGTCGGGACCTGCATGCGTCTCTCTGTCTTTAGAGAGATATAGAGAGAGGAGAGAGAGACAGTTGGCAAATGATCATTGGTTACATTGTTGGGAAAAAAATGTAAATTTAACAAATAATCTAAGCGCTAATCACTATAAATAGGAAGGGTCCGTTTGATTAGTTTAATTTTACGAGTAATAGCATACAATACCCCCGGATTATCCGACAAATTGGACCCGGCCAATATTAATTTGGATCATGATCCTCTAAATTAAAATGATTTCTATCTCCACCACTCATGTATTAAATTTTCCCTTTAAAGGTCTCTTCTGCTTGGATTGCTTAACAACAATTGTACTTACTTGAAAACCTAATTTCACCCCCAATTCCCAAAATTAAAAACATATTCTAATTCTTTAACCCATTTCATATATCCGGGCCTGCCTATTAAAAATTGTTGTTTATGATGATATAAAGAGATCATTCCACGTCTGTCGAGAATGCTGAGATTAGAGGCTAAGTGGAGCTCCAAGTTAGCACAAGGGATTCTCAGTAGAGGAGATTGAGAGAGAGAAGGTTGATTTGCTTAACACCCTATGGTAGCTAGAGCCTAATAAAACCATTCTCTATGGTTATAGTTGCGGTGGTGTATATGTATTTCAACATTTTTAAATGATGAGAGTTCAGTCCTATTTATACTACTTTCATTTGGGTAAGGACCCTTGGTCATAAGAGCCAACTCCCTCTTTATCCAATGGTCACTTTACCTAGGTAAGGACCCTTGGCAACGAGGGTAGCTCATTCTTTATCCAATGGTCATTCTGTGAGATATATATTTAATGTATTATTTGGTCTTTACTACTCGAGCTCATCTATTGGATATTAAACAATCTCTCCCCTAATTCTTCTCCCTATATGTAAGCAAATATAGTATATCTCTACTTTTATATGTACTGAAAATAATAGAGAACAAATCAATCACACCAAGCCACAAGAACACAAGCAATTTTTTACGTGGAAAACTTCCCCAGTGTGAGGAAGAAAAACCACGGGACCTAGTCTAGTTAAAATCTCCACTATTAATCAAATAATGGGTACACAAAGTCTTTTCTAATCGCAATTAGAGGCTACAAAACATCTCATCAAGATAGCAACAATCTTGGCAAAAAAACAAAGAGAATTGGAGAGAAAAATACCAAAACCCGGTTACTGTTCACGGGCACGAATTACTGTTCCCGAGCTCAAAATCTGATCTCCACCATTCAGATTGTGCGTCACTGAGTCATGAACCTCTCCTCCAAATTTTAGCTTGATCGGACCACGGACGAAGCGGGATAGGACGTTTGATCAAACCTGGGCAGAATGGAAAAACCTGCGTTTTTCTTCTCTTTGTTCTTTCATTTGCGGCTAACCTCTCTCTTTTTTTATACTAACTTCCTTAGGGTTTTCTTTTCCCTAAAGGCTGGGCTTTGGGCTTTTAATAAAACCCACTTGGGGCTTTCCTCCATATAGAAGAAAATAAACCCAACAAATCTCCCCCTTTCTGACTATGTGGAGGGAATCGCCATCCCGGCGATCGAATAACAAACTTCAAGCTTCTCTCGTGGTAATGTCTTTGTCAACATATCAGAGCCATTATCATCAATGTAGACCTTCTCAAGTTCAAGTAACTTATTGTTCAACGCATCTCTGATCCAATGGTATCGTACATCAATGTGCTTAGATTTTGCATGGAAACTGGAATTCTTAGCAAGATGAATAGCACTCTGGCTATCACAAAACAACACATACCTCTGCTGCTTGAAACCAAGTTCTCTCAAGAACTTCTTTGCCCATAGGAACTCTTTAGTCGCTTCCGTTGCTGCAATAAACTCTGCCTCTGTCCTAGAAAGAGCAATACACTTCTGAAGTCTCGATTGCCAACCTACAGCCCCACCTGCAAAAGTGATCAAATAACCCGAAGTAGACCTACGAGTATCCACATCCCCTGCCATATCTGCATCTGTGTAGCCAACTAACAATGGTTGTTCGTTTCTCAAACCAAGTCTCAAACTGGAAGTGCCTCGAAGATATCTCATGATCCACTTCACTGCATTCCAATGCTCTCTTTCCGGATTTGACAAGAATCGGCTAACTACATCAACTGCATGGGCTATATCTGGTTTTGTGCAAATCATTCCATACATCAAACTTCCTACTGTTGAGGCGTAAGGAACTCTTTCCATGTTTCCCTTTTCCTTATCTGTAGAAGGACATTCATTTGTACTCAGTCTGAAGTGGGTAGCAAGAGGAGAGCTAACCACATTAGAGTTGTCCATATTGAACCTCTGAAGCACTTTTTCAATGTACTCCTCCTGTGACAAATATAACTTCTTGGCACTCCTGTCACGACTAATTCTTATGCTAAGAATTTTCTTTACTGGCCCCAAATCCTTCATAGCAAATGACTTACTCAATTGCTTCTTCAACTGTTCAATCCTTGAAGCATTCCTGCCAACAATCAACATGTCATCCACATAAAATAGTAGAATAATAAAATCATCATCAGCGAATTTTTTAACAAATACACAGTGATCAGAAGTTGTTTTCTTGTAGCTTTGCTCCCCCATAACAGATTCAAACTTCTTATACCACTGTCTCGGTGCTTGTTTCAAACCATATAGGCTTTTCTTCAGCTTGCACACATAATCCTCTTTCCCTTTCACTTTGAAACCCTCTGGCTGCTTCATATAAATCTCTTCCTCCAAATCACCATGAAGGAAGGCAGTTTTCACATCCATCTGCTCAACTTCCAAGTCAAGATTAGCTGCTAGGCTGAGTGCTATACGGATCGATGACATATTTACGACTGGAGAGAAGATCTCATCAAAGTCAATACCTTTTCTCTGACCGAACCCTTTGACAACCAATCTAGCTTTGTACCGTGGCCATGAAGATAACTCATTTTGCTTCTTCCTGTAAATCCACTTGTTTTCCAAAGCTCTTTTTCCTTTAGGTAGCTTCACTAACTCAAAGGTGTGGTTATCATGTAATGACTGCATCTCATCTTGCATGGCCTCAACCCACTGTCTTTTGTTCATCTTCTATGGCTTCTGCAAAACACTGGGGTTCTCCCCCGTCAGTCAATAACACATACTGTTTTGCTGAATACCGAGTGGAAGGACGTCGGTCTCTGGTAGACTTCCTGGATGGAATCACTAGTGGAATCTCTGGCGTTGTCAACTGCTCATCAGTCTCAACATCTCCCTGAACCTATAAGGGAACATCCACATCACCTGTACACCGATGGTCATCCTCACCATCATTCTCAACCTGAGATGGCAGATTCTTCAGAAGAGCTGGATCAATATCAGTCAAGATATCACCTTGTTGAGACATAGATTTCCCTGCTTTCTCAATATCCTGAATCGTCTGATCTTCTACAAACACGACATCTCTACTTCTCACAATTTACTTCTCAACTAGATCATAAAGCTTGTACCCAAACTCATCTTGGACATAGCCAAGGAATATACACTGTTGCGTTTTCACATCAAGTTTGGACCTT